TAGAACTGGTATCTCCCCCTAAAGGCTTTAACCTTCATTAATGTCAATAATCGACCAGAAATTCGTGTCAACGCCACATCCGCACCTTCCTATCATGTTATTGTTATTAAAAATAGTTCCTCGCGGACCTTTTTTTTTGTTGTTGTTGTTCCTAATTGTGAAAGCGAACTTATTTTTCCTCCTTCCTATTAGAACACGAGAAATAAAAAAAACAAGAAACTAAAAAAAAAAGAAGCTTTAACTTAGATTAGAAAACAAAACCATGTTTTGACCATGTGAGTACAAAAAAAAAAACAAAAAAAAAAACAACAACCCAACAATGCAAAAATCGCGTGATTTGAGATTTACCACCAAAACCCGACTGTTCTTGACTGCCGAACAACATACACCCTAGATCTAGCTGCTCATCAACCAAGTTATTGCGGGTTGGGGTATTAAATGAAACGCAGATTCACTGGCTAAGGCTACAGACTAAAGCATTGTCAACTCTCACAACAACAAAAACAAAACAAAAAAGAAACGACAGCAGACTTGGAGAATAACAACTGGATTAACTGGTTCAGAACCTAGACTTTGGCCGAAGACTTTATTAAAGGCAGATAATAAAAAAAGTGTACCAGCACCCTCGGGGGGGGGGGGGGGGGGGAAAGACATCTGACACTGAACTACAGCCCGAGGGTAAAACGCCAAAGTTGTGTACCAACAGTACATAATAACATACCAATTACTGATTGGATGGTAACGACAAACATAGAACATAGCATCTTCTCAACCAAACACATTATGGAATATGCCTAACACGTCATAGCGTCGTACATGCTGTGTATCGCAACACATTTGTCAATTTTGTAAACAACCAAAAAGTTTAAAAGTTTGGAAGTTATATTTAATGCAGCCATTTTATACGCAGTTGAAAAGTCAAACTTTATTCCGTTCCCTTCAACTTCAACATACAAAAAAAAATTCTACCAAACAACAATTCCTTTAATAATTCAAACAACACAGTGACAACCTCCCCAAAAATATCTCTTCTAAACTTCTTCCTCGGGGACTTGTATCATGTATGCCAGACCGAATAAAGTAATGGCTGACTGTTTTTTACTCTCAGTGTGGCACCGTGTTCTTCCTTATAATAGGTCGTCATGTCTATATCCCCTGCTCGGTGGAATGTATTACATGAAAAAGTTACCAAGACATGGCATGGAAGTGTACACACATTTAATTAACTGAACCACTTCATTATCGTTGACAAGGTGCAATCATCAACCTAATCATTAAATCCCAATCTTGTCAATCATCTACCTGTTAATGACACATCGTTTGTCAGTGCGGCCGTAGAGTAGGGGAGGTAAGCCTAACCTAAATGGATTTTTTTGAATATTGATGCACAAAGAAGCAACTATTTTTAAATTCATAAATAATAATACAAAAAAAAGAACAAACGGCGCGCGCATGAAAATAAAAACAACAGTTCGCAAAAGCTATTCTCTTTGGGGGATAGCGGTAGAATTAACCCTTTAGAATTAATTAGTTTTAAATCAGGGGAACAAACTGCAATTTTGTTTTTCACTGAAGTGAATACATGGTGATGCACCCTGCTTTAAATCATGTCAGGTATAAAATGATTTCTATCAGGGAAAAAAAACAGTATGATAAAAGAACAACTAGATGGTATTCACTTAAAGGTTGTTTCTTATGCTAAACTAAGTCCTAACTATGGATAATCAAAGTAAACAAGTTTAATATAAAGTTAAATTGGCCCTTGAGTAAATTTCAGATTGTACGCATTTTAGCTTGCATTAACTATCACTTAACCATTTACTATGGTAGGCTAGTCACAAGCAATTAATGGTAGACTAGTGACAAGCAATTAATGGTAGACTAGTGACAAGCAATTGATTCTAGGCTAGTCAAATGCAATTTCTGTTAGGCTAGTCAAAAGCAATTTCTGATAGGCTAGTCAAAAGCAACTGATACTAGGCTAGGGTACACTTGTCACAAGAAATTGATGGTAAACTAGTCACAAGTAATTGACTGTATGCTTGTCATTAGCAATTAATTTTAGAGTAGTCACAAGCCACTGATACTAGGCTGGTCACAAGCACCTGATTCACACTGCACCTGCATTTTTTAAATACTTGAATGGTATGTTTTAAACTACTTCAACAAAAGTGTTTGATTGAAACAATCAATAAGCGACCGGCTACTGGGTGTCACATTTTGCCTGATAGAAGGTAAACAGTGGCTCATCACTGAGACCAGAGTCACTCTTTAACATGTTTACATTTGTAGCACAGCTTTTAGTGGTATTAGATTTACATAACCATCAGAAAACCTAGTTTAATTATTAATTTTTCATTAGAAGTCAATGAGTGTTAAATTTAAGCAAGAAAATTAAAAGATAAAATTTGAGATTATCGACTTAAGTTTTTAATTAAACACTATGTTGTGACACAATTCTTTTATGCTGAAATTACTTCTTTGGATATCTAGGTTTTAAAACCAAAGATTAATTTAATCTCTAATATATAAAAGATTGTGGGATTCGATGTTGGAAGAAAAGTGGCTGACATTTTTTGTGTTAAAAATTCAGATAATAAATATTTTTCTTAATGTTTACAGATAATCTGTGGTCAAATGGTACAACGTTTGGCTGGTTGCCTGAAGATCTTGAATTTGGACCTTCGTCCGGCCTCAGGGCTGCAAGATGTCCCTTAGTTTACCCAGCTTTGATGGGTAACTGAATCAAATTGGTATGATTAAAGGCGGCTGGCACAGTGCTGGCCACACCATCCCTTAGTATGCTGAGGTCAATAAACATTTCAATTCTACTTCATTTACCCTATGATATTTACTTAACTCACTGTTAAATGGAATATCTTTTTGTAATTATTTACACAAGTATTCCCTCGTGATTGTTATAGATTTATTTTTAAAAGAACAAGTACTAGCTCTTCCTTCACTATATACATCTCCATGATCTACCCTCCATCCTAAAAAAAAGTTTAACACTACTCCTGAGCTATGGGAGTTACAGACAGCCTAAAAAAAAAGTTTTTCATCCTCTAACAGGCACAGCATGCAAACGTCCTTCTGTAGGGATCATTTCACACTGAAATAAAACCTTAAACCAAAAGAAAGAGGTTAATATCTTCACTACAGAGGATCCAAACAGTGAAGATATGTCCTTCCAGTGAGGCAAGTAATTCAATACTGTACTTTACACCAGTATATTTCTTTGTCATCAGACCTGGTCTTAATGATCTTTGCTTAATGATCTTACCTAAAAGGACATTGTGTATTAAATTGTGTATTTTACAAAAAACATTAGACAATTGTTAAAGTTATATTTTCTAAATAATTTTTTTCTCTATTTCTTTGGGGGGGGGGGGAGCTTTAGATGAGATATGACTAGGAATGGATAGTTCTTGTAAATTTAATATATTTGAAGTATAAATTTTAATTAACCTAATCATTACCTAACTCAATTTATTTTGAAATTTAAATTACATTTAAATAAAATTTAGGGTGAAGTAAAATATTTTCTAGATTTAGGATCTTAATAAAATAAATAAACCTAGATCTACTCTAGATCTAGAGTTAAGATGTTAATGCAGATTAGAATATCAGATTTATTCTTCCTGAATTAAGAAGTAGACTAGATTCTAGTAAAGTAATAGATTCTAAGTATTAGCCAGTATTAGGCTATCTATAGGCCTAACTATTAGATCTAAATAAGTCAGTGGGATATTAGATCTACTCTAGAGTCTAGATCTAGTAAGATATAACTCATATAACTGTCATCTAGATCTAGCCTTCTAAGTAAAAAAGTATTATTTAATAATTTAAGCAACAGCAAGCTAAATCTGGAAATCTAGATATATTCTTTATTGTAGATCTATAAATTATAATCTACTAGATTTTCTAGATCTAGATCTATGTCTATATCTAGAGTTTTTATTATAGATGGTAGATCTAGATCTAGATTCTAGAGTTTCTAAAGTAGGCCCTATTTAATAAATTTATTTTAAAATTTAATTTTGTAGAGAGTGTGTGTACGGATATTGGCCTAATCATTTTAGGTAATCTATCGTTTTGGGTACGTAAAATCGCCCGCGGCTATTAATGTACGAAAACGTTACCTCATTGTCAAGGCTGTAATAGAAGTATATTGTGATATGTTTGTGTCAAATATTATAGATAAATGGATAATAAACCTAAATCAATGGCTAAATATATCAATATAGGCCAGAAATTAACTTTAAACAGCAGTGTCTGCAAGCAAGATTTGCTATATATTTATATAAACAGCAGCCATTTGTAAAATAGAGTGACTTCCGCCTGAATCTCGCGCTATAAGTCTATAAAAATAAAACTTTAACAAGATGGCTGCTATAGTAAATGAGCATGGTTGCATCTGTTGGAAACATCGCTGGTGTTTATTTATTACTGAAAAGTTTTAATTCAATTGTTTAAAAACAGGTACATAAATGAAACAAGGAAACATTTTTGTATTTTTCAAAACATAAATCCTCCTCAAAATGTGAAATAATTATTAAAATGTAAGGAGTCACCTGTTTTTCACATTACTAGTCGCGGGCGATTTTACGTACCTAAAACGATAGATTACCGTTAAGAAATAAGATTCAGAGTAGTCAGTAGAATAGATTCTAGATTCTAGATTCTAGATCTAGATTTTCTAGATTCTAGATCTAGACTAGACTAGATCTAGATCTAGAAGTCTAGCTAGATTCTAGATCTAGAATCTAGATCTAAGCGGAAATAGAAATCTAGTTTTACTTCACACTTCACGGCATTAGGAAATATGAAAATAACTTGAAAATGTAAATAGCAGATCTGGAATACAGACTCTAATCCAGACGTGTGTTGTTCTCTGTGCTGAACAACTGTCACAGCATGTGCCCTGTCAACTTTGAACCTTGAACACCGCCAGTGCCAATCAATCAAGTACATCGTCTGCTAAAGTTTTAACACCTTACCTTGAAACGCGGCTCTACGAAGTATGATGTACTGGAGCAAAAAGAAATCCCAAATCGTCTTTTGAGGGCATATTCTGGTACTTTTATGTCGAGTGAGAGTGGATAATGTGTATTCTGAAAGTCTAAACTGTAATCCATCTCTCTGATGAACATATGTTGTTTTTTTCTTCTTTCCGTACCCTAAGTCATGACATCAGGATGGGAAAATGCCGTGGCTTTGTTCGGAATCTTAAAAATATAAACGGAAAAATAAAAAGCCTAACACCGTTATCGCTGGCATAACGATAGTAAACCGGTGAACAGTCACTTCTATGCTGTGCTAGTTTTGCAGCCCGATTGCATACATATCCAATACTGACAGGATAAAATCGATAGCATCCGGAAGTATATTGAAATAATAATTAGATGAGCAGGGATGGGCGGAAACTATCCTGTGTACTTTAAAAAAAGGTGTATTTATCCTTCAGGTTATGTACGGAAGATATTCTTTTCACGTGCACTAATCAGTTTCTAGCTGTAAAGGATTTGACGTTTTTCGTAATACGTAAGCCATGATAAAAAAAAAAATTATGATAGTGAAATAAATATCAGAGATACAATGACCTAATTTTGTAATGGAAATAATCATAACAAGCCTTCGTTGAATGATAAAGGGTGCTTTTTCCATTTACTGATAGCGGGGTATTGCCTAGTTTATCTAACAGCCACTTGTAACTGCTTAAAACTTGGAAAACATTGATAGTTTTATTATATAGTTTGTTGAGTTTTTTGTTTTTCGTGTGTGTGTGTGTGTGTGTGTGTGTTTTAAATTTGTATGGTTCTGGTTCATCATTGTAGTCGCATGTTTAGGACTATATATATAAATAAATAAATAAATAAATAAATAAATAAATACACACACACACAGACACACACACACACACACACACACACACACACATATATATATATATATATATATATATATATATATATATATATATATATATATATATATATATATATATATATATATATATATATATATATATATTTGCCCGCTAAATGTATGAACTAAACTGAAAAAAAAACCGTCTTGCTAATGAGGGAGGGGGGAAGGGGGTAGACATCTGCAAACAAAGAGGTCAATAAATTATATAGGACGTGTTTTTTCAGTGCCCCACCCCCCATCCCATCCCTCTTGATCAGTTCATTAGATCCAATCAATAATTAAGTACTTATAGTGCCGCTTCGATTGACCAGTGAAATCAAGCTCGGTTGTCCCATTTAAAATTAATTGACTCGATCAACTTGATATGTAGCTTAGGTCTACAGGTGTGGGGGGCTGGGGTGGTGGTGTAACAGCAGACGGTGATCAATTCAGCAGCTTTTAAAAACTGTTTAATCTTCTGAAATAAAAATATTTCAATTGAATTGTCGTATGGAAAACGGCTTCTCTCTGTGTGTTAGCTATGGCTATAGGATCAAAGCACAAATAAAGTTCAATGGCCTGATCGTTCAGAAACCGACCTGTGTTTTTTTTTTTAATATATTGGCCTACTGGGGTTAATAGGGGATTTAAAAAGTATTGAAGTCAGCGATGTGGGTGGAGTGGTAGGGGGTGATCAAAATGAGCTACATATTTTTAGCCTTCAGGATGGCGCCCGCCCTGGTCAGCCGCCCCCCTCGCTATACCACTGCATAAACCCCCGGGACGTTGAAGCGCCACAGTTGATTTTTTATAACTTTTCGCCACCTTTCTAAATAAACCTACGCATCATCACACACACATATGTTATCTTTACCCCCCCCCCCCCCCCCACGAGATGAATTATTGCCTACGCCACTATTTTAAGAGGTTTTACGCTTATATATTTAAAACGATTGGATCTGTACAGCTGCATTTGATAAAGGCAAGCACCGCATAATAGAAATGAATACATATGGTAGGCCTACTTATTCATAAGTGTCAGACCATATTAGAGGCAAATTTTGTTTTGCTAGGATCGATACTGGATCTAATTTACTCAAGCCCCGACCTTCACCGTGAACATATCCATTGACCTTAATCCTTTTTACATATTCTGACCCCTTCCCCTAATAGGAGTTGCGATAAAAACTGTTGGCTCACGCGAGAGAACAACATTAGCCCTGTAATTTACCCCCCCCCCCCCGACATTCTACCCGGGTCAATCATCCCCTGTCAATACCCCCTAATGTTACCCCCACCCAGTCTCCCTACTTACCCCCCCCCCCCCCCCCTGCGCCCAAATAGTAGAGTACGATAGCATGCCCCTGTTTATTATACATATGTTCCTAACGGCTATCGGTAAAGCAATGTAAGATAAGTTAGGCTTAGTGTATAGCTAGGGACAGGGTCTAGGGAAAAATAGTGTATACGTAACTTTGTTGTCTGTTTGGCATTCCTTTAGTAAAGATCTAGTGAAATAAAATGTATTTGCTTTTCCATCGTTCCATTTTAGACATTATAAATAGAATTCCGGCCTTCTCACTTTACCGGTAACGTGTGTATATCTTTTTCAGTTGGTAATTACTATAGGGGTAATTGACAGGGATGTAGAGGGGACGTGGGGGGGGGGGGATGTGGGGTGATGTCCAGGTGATAACTGACGTAGCTAATGTCCTAGAACGGTTTCACACACACACACACACATACACACACACATCTACACGTCTCCGTATGTGTTGGTCAACTGGCGCTAAACCAGTGACGTAGGACCAGCAGAATAACAGCTGTCTCATATTACGTTACAGGAAAAGACGTCTGCGCTCGTGTCGCTTTCAGTGCTCTCACATTGCAACTTTTTTATGTCATAAAACCACTCACACACACACACACACACACACACATATATATATATATATATATATATATATATATATATATATATATATATATATATATATATATATATATATATCAGGGGCGTAGCGAGGGGGGGGGGGGCGGACCGCACCGGGTGACACCATTTAGGGGGGTGACACCAAGGCAAAAAATAGCAAAATATATAGAGAAAAACTTGAGGGGGTGTAAATCGAAAGTTTGAGGGGGGTGCAAATCGAAAATTTGAAAGTTTGTCCCCGGGAAGGGTTGCTACGCCTCTGGGGGGGGGGGGTGACACCATTAAGTGCCGCACCGGGTGACACCCGACCTCGCTACGCCACTGATATATATATATATATATATATATATATATATATATATATATATATATATATATATATATATATATATATATATAGTTATACAGAGAGAGAGAGAGTGAGAGATATCTGCACCAAGACCCTCCCCCTCTTACACAAACGCAACACAGTTAGCCTTTTATTCAGGTTTGCAAACAATACATTTTAACATTTATGAATCTCAGTTTGTAAAAATCTGTCTTTGTCTTCATATTTAGATCGACCCGGCGTTCGTAGGTCGAATCGTTTTGCTGCTTCAGCTTGAACCTCCATCTTGATTTTTAAAAGTTGGAATTTATGTTTTAAATTCATTTGTTTTAAATATATATTGTCTATATTCTCCTTTCTTCTAATTTCTAAATTAAAAAAAATATTTTTGGAGTATTCTCTCCTAGAAGAATTGCTGCCCCCATGTGTCGAATTTTTCGGTTTAGCAGCCATGAGCGTTACCGACTCGACCACGCCGACCCCCCTCGTTCTATGTTCGATATTTGACATCTGCTCTTACGCTAACGCCGACTGTTATCAAACCTGGTAGATCAGAAGTGGGTGTAGGTTGCATGGGTTCATATACTTTAAGGTCGTCGGAATGGGGGGGGGGGGGGTGGTACCTCATTGACAGGGGTTCACATACTTTAAGGTTGTCGAAAAAGGGGGGGGGGTTCCCTCATTGACCTCAAAATAATTAAATTTTCAAACTTCTGATAAGTATAAGGGAAATTAAAAATCAAAGCATTTGAAAAGAAATTTCCTTCGTGACTGGGATAATAGCCCATCGATGTAGGCTGACATTGCTTGTTTGCAATACATGATGTCATTTACATATTATATTAAAATATGTGAATAATGTTTGTGTATATTCGTATAGATATGGGCGGATCACGTTAGGAACATTGAGTCTAACCCCCCTCCTCCCCTTAAAAACAACACTCAGAAGATCTACATATGATCTCTACCCATTTTAAATTATTTTTATGTTTGACAGACTTTGAGAATAGGATATTTTATTTTAAACTTGGGGTAAAATGTTAAGAATGTAAGTTATATAAAAAAAAAAAATTGATGATGCACTTAGAGTTTCTTCCAAGGGTAGCGCCAGCCTCCCCCCCCCCCCCCCCTTAACTCGACTAAACTATACCGCACCCCCGAACGAAATGGAATTTATAAAGAAAACATAAATTTACCAGTCTCTCCCCCCCCCCCTCGGAAAATGTACTCCGCCCCCCCCCCCCCCCGAAAATATCAAGTGCCCCCCCCCCCTCCCGGAGAAAAAAGTCTGGAAGAAACACTGTAGTATACACTCCCCACAACGTCTGCTACAAACGATAAAAATATAAAACATTGTGTGTGCATTTTTACAGCTCGCAAATGATGCTAATGGATTGGGAATGGGGTGGAGAATTTAAAACTTTCACCGGAAATTCCCATAAATGGACTGTATACCCTCGGTGCATTGATATATGAAGGTAATTAAATAAACGAGAAGCACGTCTGCCCAGACTGTTGTTGTAGGGGTTACAAATTATCTCCAGAGTGGCCGTTCTTTGGGTTGGTCTAGATACCGGCCGAAACATGGATATCACAGCACAGGATTTTGTCAGACCGATTTAGCAACTTGTCAAAGACATATGGGTCGGCACGAGCATAGCACCGCAGGAGACGTTAATCCATCATAGGGTAATATGGGTGGGGTTGTCGTAGGGAGACATAGGCAGGGTTGTCGTGAGAAAATATATACAGGGTTGTCACAAGGAAAATACGAGTATGGTTAATGTAAAAATGTGATTGTGAAAATATGGGTTTTTGTAAGAAATAGGAACAAGGCTGTTACAAAACGAGGTAGATAGCTTTGTAACAAGAACACATGGGGAGGGTTGTGAAAGAAAATATGGGGAGGGTTGTGAAAAGAAAATATGGGGAGGGTTGTGAAAAGAAAATATGGGGAGGGTTGTGAAAAGAAAATATGGGGAGGGTTGTGAAAGAAAAAAATGGGAGGGTTGTAAAAAGAAAATATGGGGAGGGTTGTGAAAAGAAAATATGGGAAGGGTTGTGAGAAGAAAATATGGGAAGTGGTGCGGCTAGAAAATATGGGGAGGGTTGTGACATGAAAATATGGGGAGGGTTGTGACATGAAAGTATGGGGAGGGTTGTGAAAAGAAAATATGGGGAGGGTTGTGAAAAGAAAATATGGGATGGTTGTGAAAAGAAAATATGGGGAGGGTTGTGAAAAGAAAATATGGGAAGGGTTGTGAGAAGAAAATATGGGAAGTGGTGCGGCTAGAAAATATGGGGAGGGTTGTGACATGAAAATATGGGGAGGGTTGTGACATGAAAGTATGGGGAGGGTTGTGAGAAGAAAATATGGGAAGGGTTGTGAAAAGAAAATATGGGGAGGGTTGTGAAAGAAAATATGGGAAGGGTTGTGAAAGAAAATATGGGATGGTTGTGAAAAGAAAATATGGGGAGGGTTGTGAAAGAAAATATGGGGAGGGTTGTGAAAAGAAAATATGGGAAGGGTTGTGACATGAAAATATGGGAATTGGTGCGGCTAGAAAATATGGGGAGGGTTGTGACATGAAAATATGGGGAGGGTTGTGACATGAAAGTATGGGGAGGGTTGTGACATGAAAATATGGGGAGGGTTGTGAGAAGAAAATATGGGAAGGGTTGTGAAAGAAAATATGGGATGGTTGTGAAAAGAAAATATGGGGAGGGTTGTGACATGAAAATATGGGGAGGGTTGTGAGAAGAAAATATGGGAAGTGGTGCGGCTAGAAAATATGGGGAGGGTTGTGACATGAAAATATGGGGAGGGTTGTGACATGAAAGTATGGGGAGGGTTGTCAATATATATAAGGGTACATGGGTCACGTGTGAAAGTATAAATAGATGTTTCTAAGTTAGGAAAAGTGGCAAGATCTTTAAATACTTCAGCAAGAAGTGGATGGAGATGGGGAGCTGCACGTCTAGTGTAGAGGCAGGTGGACGAAATGACGTCACGTCTTAACTATATACCCAAGGCTGGTCCTGTTTTGATTCACACACTAAGGTCGAAATAATTTTGGGGACCTGCATTTTTACTTTAATAAAAACTGTCTATAAAAACGTTTCCTCTGAAATAAACCAACTCTTAATCCTCAAGGTCAGCCTCTGTCAACCCTCTTCTCTTCTATCTAGTTCAGCTTATTTATGAACCCTGCTCATCCTGACTGGTTGCACGTGTCGCAGACGTTTTCGTGAATATTTTAGTAGTAGTTGAATGCTGAAGGTGAAGGCCATACAGAGGGTGAGTTTGAAAGATGGTCAGGGCCAAAGGCGTAGGCAGGCTTGGGGAAAAAATATATATTCATATATATATATATATATATATATATATATATATATATATATATATATATATATATATATATATATATATATATATATAACCCAGCACCAACATCCTGCCTACGCCACTGATCAGGTTCCATAACTCATTTTAGACTGAATTGCTATTCACCATACTTAAACATCCTATAGATAATTCTGTTCGCAAGCTTACCGTAGCTTTTTTTTTTTTTTTTAAAATATGTTTTAAAAAAAATCCCAGATCCTGTGAGCTAAATGTTTTACCCAGATGTCAGCTTAATTTAAAAGATACTCATGTTAACGAGGCGTTAAACCGAACGACACACCCACCCTCCCTTCCTTCCTTACTTACTCCTTCACTCCATTTCTTTCCATTTATTCATCCCTACCTCCTTCCCTCTATTCTTTCTTTCCCATTTCTTCTTAGTTATCTACATTCCTTTCTCCCTCTGTTGCCCTTCATTAGACATTTTTTCCTCTTTACATACCTCCATTCCTTCCTTTCTCCCTCCCTCCTTCCATTCCTTCCATCTTCCTAAAAACTCACCCCACCACCATAATACGTGACTTGTATCCTAGACCATGTCTTGGTACACTATCCAATTCTAGTGATGAGTTTTTCCATGATTTTAAACATTTTTTTTTTTAGTATTTTTTTTTTTTTAATACTTTTATTCTTATTTTTTTTCAGTATAAAATCAAAAATGTTCTTTATTAAAAAAAGATGTATATTCAAGTTTCTTCTTAACTAGCCTTTTAAATCAGTTTTTACGTTAGTTTTTACATCAGTTTTTACATCAGATTTTATATAAGTTTTTATATAGGTTTTATATACGTTTTTATATGTTTTTTTTCATATATTTTACCTCAGTTTTTACATGCATTTTACATCAGTTTTTATACCAATTTTTCCATCAGTTTGTATATCATTTTTTTGTATCAGTTTTTTTTTTCAATTTTTTCTCCAGTTTTCCCCCTTACGATTAGCTTTGAATCTTGTCTCAAAGCTGTTCTGATATGAATATTTAGTGCACGTGAACGTATTATATAACATGTCGGCGGTATGGGGTGGTTTATTCTTGTGTTACATGATTGGGGTAATAACAGTAATGCTGTAAGGGGGGAAGGAGGAGGGGTGGGGAGGAGGGGATGAGGGCGAGAACGAAGGTAGGGATGGTTACTATAAATATGTTAATAAGGCAAAGTCGACTGGTAGATCACACAACTGCTAACCCGAAAGTCTCGAGTTCGAATTCAGGTTCAAGTTCGTAGAACGACTCCGAGTTCACCCAGCTCTGTTGGTACCTGACTCACGTTAAAGGTAAAGGCGGGTGGGTGTAATGCTGACCCCCACTATTCTTTCACAAGCAGAGGTCACAGAAACAGGTGAACTCTACTTCATTAGCCCCGTGGGTCTTCGGTGTAGAAAGAAAACCACTTTAAAAAAATATCGGATAGGGTGTGGGTAAAAAATGTTTGTATATGTGTCTGTGTGTTACACTAAGCCTACACAATCCCTACGTCAAATAAAACAAACACCTCGCCCGACCCGCGCCACTTTTACCCAGCAAATGACGGGCTCCCATAAAACAGTACAGTGGTGAGGCAATTAGTACATCGCATGCTTTCCTTTACGGTCGCCATGGTAACGGGAGAGAGTGCCAACGATTTTTTCTCTCCCCTCCTCTGACCACGTGTGCACCCACGTGCACTATCGATCACTCATGTGTCCCTTTACACGGCGGGGCGATGGGGGAAACGTTGGTTTAGGTGTTGGTTTGACGCAGGCCTTAGGCCGAAACGTTTCTTTACTTTTTAATGAAGGGGTAAAAAAAAGTTACCTTTTTCGAACCTGACGGGGGTAGGTGAAGTAGAGTTCACCTGTTTCTATCAGAGTTTCTTCCAGGCATCCCCCGACCCCGAACGAAATGTAATTCATATATAAAATATATACTTTTAACAGTGTCTGTCCCCCCGGAAATTTTAGTCCGCCCCCCCCCCCCCCGCGAAAATTTTAAGTGCCCCCCCCCCCCAGGAGAAAAAAATAAACACTGTTTTCTATGACTCCGCTTATAGAAGGACAGTGTAGTCAGCACCATGCCCAGCCGCCTTTACACTCCCTAACGTGAGTCAGGTACCCATCAGAACAGACACGACGTGCTACAGATTCGAGCCCAGTATTCGAACTCGAGACTTTTGGGTTACCAGTTGTACGCTCTACCATCTGGGTCGCATTTTAATGTAGGTACAGTTGTGGGGAAAAAAAAGAATTTGAGACTTGTGCTTTAGTCTACACTGCTATACTGCCTGCTTTTTTTCTCCTAAGACTTTTGAGCCCTGTATGGTAGTTCATTAATAACGTCCAGTGTCAATGGGGTTAAGTATACATTATGGTTATTCTAGTGCGAACATAAGATGGGGAAGAGGGGGGGGGGGGTGGGGGGTGTGGAGAGGATGAAACTATGAACTGCCAATTTGGTTAAAAGTGATGGCTGGAGACTGACTGGCCTTTCGTGATGTCCCCATCTATGGACAGTCCCATTAGCTTTATCATGTTCAGTGCGTATAGGTCGTAAAGGTCACACGGGTCACCGATTGACCCACATATCGGCCCAGACACGGCAGATATTAACTTGATCTAGTTGTCTCATTGATACTTGACCATGCTGCAGTAGCGGATGGGGTGGGGGAGGTGTGGCTTAGTACAAATATGATGGATGATGAGTACCCTGGTCAATTAAGTCTAGCCTGCAACACAAACAGAAATACATCACGACCGTAAGACCAGAGGCGTAGCGAGGGGGGGGTGGGGGTACATATGTCCCTGGGCGCCGACCTTAGGGGGCGCCAAAATGGGTTGGAAAATCAAATTGAAAGTTTGAGGGGGGGGGGGGGGGTGCAAATTGAAAATTGAAAGTTTGTTCCCGAATGGGGGGGGGGGGGGGGGGGCGCCAAATTGAAAGTTTGTCTCCGGGCGCCGGGAAGGATCGCTACGCCTCTGCGTAAGACACACTGTTTTTTTTTTATTGGATAAAAGCGAATGGTAAAATGGAAACCACTATAGATTCGTTTCATGTCTTTCCTTGAGTAGTTTGCATTAAAAAACATAAACAAAAAATAATAATTGGTATACTAACGCGTGTGTATCATTAAAACACGCATGTGTAGATTAAAAAATTAAATTTTAGTAAGGGAAGCCACCAAGTATATTTTTTCGACATAGTACCTTACACGATTCTCTCCCTTAGATAGATGTACTTTTTAAAAAATAAACTTTCTTCACCCCTCCTTTTATTTCTCTTCACCCGGTAATCCCTTTAGAATTAGGTTACGATAATTATACAGTTTTGTCCCCTACATCAACATTCCCTACGATGGAGCCAGGAATATTAATTTTTTTAAAGTAAGAACTCGTCAAAAGACAATCGATGCATGAATCACCACGCCAACAACAACATTTGCAGAATAAACAGAGCATATCTTGAAGTCCTGAGTTCATATCTCGCCCAACTCTGTGTTGCGTTTCAAGGTTCAATCAGGGTTTATTTTAAATATTTTCCTCCGAGTTGGGGTTGGCTAATTTTTTTACACCCCCCCCCCCCCCCGCTACGCCTCTGGTCAGTACCCTGAATAAATATTGTAGTCAGTACCCTGAATATATTGTAGTCAGTACCCTGAATATATTGTAGTCAGTACCCTGAATATATTGTAGTCAGTACCCTCATTATGTTGTAGTCAGTACCCTGTATATGTTGTATCAAGTACCCTGAATATGTTGTAGTCAGTACACTTAATATGTTGTAGTTAGTACCTTTAGTATCACCTACTACTACGAATCGGAAACCATACATCAATAAATTTCACGTAACCACATATTTTGATACCCCTATTTTTAGTATATGTGTATAGATCACATAATAACAAAAACAAATGTTAAGAGACTTTAATTCCCCATTTTATACAAATTTTAAATTCTTAAAAACTTGGATGGAAAAAGTATTCAGAAAAGCATCGTTTTTATTTTGATGAATTAGCTTCTAAAAATGGTGAATGGCGCTCTCTACCAGGATGGGATATCACGATACAGTTGTTATACAGAAGATGTGGAATTCATACACATTCAGTCAACAGTAGCACTAGTACACGAATGTACACGAATGTACACAATTTGAAGTAGCGATAAAAAATGCATACATATATGTGTGATATATGTCAACTAGTACATAAATGTACACAATTTAAAGTAGCAATAAATAAACGCATACATATATGTGTTGTGCATGTCAACTAGTACATAAATGTACACAATTTAAAGTAGCAATAAATAAACGCATACATATATGTGTTGTGCATGTCAACTAGTACATAAATGTACACAATTTAAAGTAGCAATTAAAAAATGCATACATATATGTGTGATATATGTCAACAGTAGCACTAGTACATTCATGTACACAATTTAAAGTAGCGATTTAAAAAATGCATACATTTATGATATATGTCAACAGTAGATTATCCTACACAACCTAAAGAAGCCATATTATGGTATTGTAAGCAATGGTATGTAGCAGTAATTAGTCGGGTAATCTGAAGTTTCAATACAAAAAAGGCCAACTACAAAGTTTTAAACAACCTAAAACCTAGTAGTCCATGGCTTCAAATCACCTTTAAATTGACTAGTTTTGTTTTTAACTCCTTATCCATAAGCTTTGGTTGGTGAAACGCTAACAAAATGTTGTGTTTTTTAGGGGCTCTATTCAGGTGTGGTTTTTAAATGCTGGATCATGATGCTTTTGTAAGTGGGTCAGTAGTTGATGGGTGATTACACCGTTGTTGGTGGTTTAAAACTGATGAATTCTATGGATGATTTGAATTCTATTGATGTTTTAAACCACTGGGATGATTCAGATGCTGCAGGGTAAACGGTTGGATTCTTTAGGTTAAACTACTGGAATGATTCAGATGCCGTGGGTTAAACTGTTAAACTGTGGGATTCTTTAGAGTTGGGACGTGTTAAACTGTTGGAATGATTCAGATGCTGTAGGTTGAACTGATGGATTCTTTAGGTTAGCTGAGATGATTCAGATGCTGTATGTCAAACTGCTAAACTGTTGGATTCATAGCGTTGGCTGGGCAAGTGTTGAGCTACTGGAATGATTCAGATGCTGTAAGTTGAACTGTTGGATTATTTAGGTTAAACTGCTAGGATGATTCAGACAATGTAGGTTCAACTGTTAAACTGTTGGATTCGATTCATAACCCTTGCTGGGGAAGGTCAAACTACTAGCCACGACCAGACGTATGTTTAGAGTAACGTGAACGGCGACTTGGGACTGAGACGGCGGATCTGTGTGCTGTTGAGGACCCAGGGACTGCAATGGAAGGCGAACTTGAGAGCGGGGTCCTGTTGGCACCCCACTACCACGCCCTGCTGGGTCTTCTTCCTGTAGGACCTGGGTTGCCGGTCCTGGCACCGGTCACTGGGGAGGGAGTTGGGGAGGTGCAGAACCACGCCCTCGATGGCCAGATTTTCTGGGGGTTGGATGGCTGGCTTCACGGTCACAGCCTGCAGTTGGCGGTGTTCTGTGGAATAGACAGGACGTTTGGTAAAGATATGAATACAGCAACGTTGGGATATAACAATGATGTTCTGTGGAATAGACAGGACGTTTGGTAAAGATATGAATACAGCAACGTTGGGATATAACAATGATGTTCTGTGGAATAGACAGGACGTTTGGCAAAGATCAGACAAGCGCAGCATTGGGTTATAACAGCGATGTTCTGTGGAATAGACAGGACGTTTGGTAAAGATCAGACAAGCGCAGCATTGGGTTATAACAGCGATGTTCTGTGGAATAGACAGGACGTTTGGTAAAGATCAGACAAGCGCAGCATTGGGTTATAACAGCGATGTTCTGTGGAATAGACAGGACGTTTGGTAAAGATCAGACAAGCGCAACATTGGGTTATAACAGCGATGTTCTGTGGAATAGACAGGACTTTTGGTAAAGATTAGACAAGCGCAACATTGGGTTATAACAGCGATGTTCTGTGGAATAGACAGGACTTTTGGTAAAGATCAGACAAGCGCAGCATTGGGTTATAACAGCGATGTTCTGTGGAATAGACAGGACTTTTGGTAAAGATCAGACAAGCGCAGCATTGGGTTATAACAGCGATGTTCTGTGGAATAGACAGGACTTTTGGTAAAGATCAGACAAGCGCAGCATTGGGTTATAACAGCGATGTTCTGTGGAATAGACAGGACTTTTGGTAAAGATCAGACAAGCGCAGCATTGGGTTATAACAGCGATGTTCTGTGGAATAGACAGGACTTTTGGTAAAGATCAGACAAGCGCAGCATTGGGTTATAACAGCGATGTTCTGTGGAATAGACAGGACTTTTGGTAAAGATCAGACAAGCGCAGCATTGGGTTATAACAGCGATGTTCTGTGGAATAGACAGGACTTTTGGTAAAGATCAGACAAGCGCAGCATTGGGTTATAACAGCGATGTTCTGTGGAATAGACAGGACTTTTGTTAAAGATCAGACAAGCGCAGCATTGGGTTATAACAGCGATGTTCTGTGGAATAGACAGGACTTTTGGTAAAGATCAGACAAGCGCAGCATTGGGTTATAACAGCGATGTTCTGTGGAATAGACAGGACGTTTGGTAAAGATATGAATACAGCAACGTTGGGATATAACAGCGATGTTCTGTGGAATAGACAGGACGTTTGGTAAAGATCAGACAAGCGCAGCATTGGGTTATAACAGCGATGTTCTGTGGAATAGACAGGACGTTTGGTAAAGATCAGACAAGCGCAGCATTGGGTTATAACAGCGATGTTCTGTGGAATAGACAGGACGTTTGGTAAAGATCAGACAAGCGCAGCATTGGGTTATAACAGCGATGTTCTGTGGAATAGACAGGACTTTTGGTAAAGATTAGACAAGCGCAGCATTGGGTTATAACAGCGATGTTCTGTGGAATAGACAGGACGTTTGGTAAAGATTAGACAAGCGCAGCATTGGGTTATAACAGCGATGTTCTGTGGAATAGACAGGACGTTTGGTAAAGATTAGACAAGCGCAGCATTGGGTTATAACAGCGATGTTCTGTGGAATAGACAGGACGTTTGGTAAAGATTAGACAAGCGCAGCATTGGGTTATAACAGCGATGTTCTGTGGAATAGACAGGACGTTTGGTAAAGATTAGACAAGCGCAGCATTGGGTTATAACAGCGATGTTCTGTGGAATAGACAGGACGTTTGGTAAAGATCAGACAAGCGCAGCATTGGGTTATAACAGCGATGTTCTGTGGAATAGACAGGACTTTTGGTAAAGATTAGACAAGCGCAACATTGGGTTATAACAGCGATGTTCTGTGGAATAGACAGGACTTTTGGTAAAGATCAGACAAGCGCAGCATTGGGTTATAACAGCGATGTTCTGTGGAATAGACAGGACTTTTGGTAAAGATCAGACAAGCGCAGCATTGGGTTATAACAGCGATGTTCTGTGGAATAGACAGGACTTTTGGTAAAGATCAGACAAGCGCAGCATTGGGTTATAACAGCGATGTTCTGTGGAATAGACAGGACTTTTGGTAAAGATCAGACAAGCGCAGCATTGGGTTATAACAGCGATGTTCTGTGGAATAGACAGGACTTTTGGTAAAGATCAGACAAGCGCAGCATTGGGTTATAACAGCGATGTTCTGTGGAATAGACAAGAAGTTTGGGATATAACAATGATATTCTCTGGAACAGACAAGACGTTTGGCAATTTGTAGAATATCGCAACAGTGGGATATAACAACGATGTTCTGGTCAAGTTAGGTAGGTGATTGCTAGAACAACTAGATATACATGGTTAGTTACTGTGCCTTACTCAGACTTGTTCGTTTCAATGTTTTGTTTAAAATCTGCCATAGCAACCCATACCGTACACATACAACCACACTTCCCAAATAAAACATACCCCACAATACAACCTCATATCGCACATAAAACCCCACACCTCCACACATACAAACCCACAACCCCCCCCCCCAGACATAAAACCACACCCCACACATACAACCTCACCACCCACATAAAACCACATATCCCACACATGCAACAACCCCCCCCCCAATAAAACACATCCCCACAACACAACAACCACCCCCCCACATAAAACCACACCACCACACCCAACCACAGGAAGAAACTCACCCGCGTTGCAGCTGTAAAACTGCCCCAGTACCTGCCTACACCGTGGGTCGAGCAGCGCCTCACTGTGGTCCTCCCATTTCATCCAATCCCCGGTCACGTTACTTCCTGACTGCGTCATGGTCAACTTCCTAACCGAAATTTTCAACGGCGACACAAACTCTTGCAACTTGTGAACTACACACCAACCATCAACTGGCGGCTAAATCTATATCAGATGTGGAGATTCTCACAGCATGAAACACAAATGATGAAGGCAATAACAGACGAATAGTAAATCAAGAACTGTATGGCTTAGCCACTGGAAGGGAGCGCTTTTATTTCTTCCGTTGGATACTTTAAAAAACTTCACTAATTTTCGGTTGCAGTAGCTTTCAAAACGGTAGCGGTTGCAGCAGTTGTTACGGTGTTAAATCAAGACCTGTAGGGCCCAGTCAATGGGAGGGAGCGCCTTTATCTCTGACATGGGAGACTTTGGGGGCCTTGGCTGATTTTCGGATGTAGTAGCGCTCAAAGCGGTAGTTGTTGCAGTAGTTGTTATCGTAGTTGGCGTCGTCATCGAACCCGAGCCAGTAGCTGATGCCGCACATAACCCAGTACGTCAGGATGGTGGCTGTTATCAACATACTTCTCTCACGTCTTCCTACAAGCAAACCTGTGGTGGGAGAGATAGGGGAGGTACGGTTGTAAAGTTGTGAAAAGTGAATGGACAACAAACAGATGATGGGAAGACAGGAGATACGGCTGTAAAGTTGTGAAAGGTGAATAAAAACAAACCTATGGTGGGGGAGGTACGGTTGTAAAGTTGTGAAAAGTGAATGAAAACAAACCTATGGTGGGAAAGATAGGGGAGGTACGGTTGTAAAGTTGTGAAAAGTGAATGGAAACAAACATGTGTAGGGGAGACAGGAGATACGGTTGTAAAGTTGTGAAAAGTGAATGAAAACAAACCTATGGTGGGGAGACAGAGGAGGTACGGTTGTAAAGATGTGAAAATTGAATGGAAACAAACCTATGGTGGGGGAGGTACGGTTGTAAAGTTAAGTGGGGAAAAGTGAATGCAAACAAACCTATGGTGGGGAGACATGAGATAGGTTGTAAAGATGTGAAAATTGAATGGCAACAAGGCTCGATCTCTTCCAACACTAAAAATTAAGAACGAAGAAGAAGAAGAATGGAAACGGTTTTAAGTAAAAGTAAAGTTCCCTTTTCAAACCTGACGGTCTATAGGGCAAGTGAAGTAGAGTTCACTTGTTACTGTGACCTTGGCATAATTATGAAGAGATAGTGTGGTCAGCACTATGCCCAGCCGCCTTTACTTTCCCTAACGTGAGTTAGGTACCCATCAGAGCTGGGTGAACCCAGGGAGTCGAGACTTACGGGTTAGCAGTCCAGTTCTCTACCTCTAGACCACTCCGTACGGTTGTAAAGTTGTGAAAAGTGAATGGAAATAAAAATATGGTGGGAAGATAGGGGAGGTATGGTTGTAACGTTGTGAAAAGTGAAGAGAAACAATCCTATGGTGGGAAGATACAGGAGGTACTGTTGTAAAGTTGTGAATAGTGAATGGAAACAAGCCTATGGTGGGAAGATACGGTTGTAAAGTTGCGAAAAGCTGTAGCTTCTTAAGGCGAGTTCCACACCAGGTGACACCATTTATTAAGGGAGTGACACCAAATCAGAAAAAAAAAAGTTACATTAACTCTAAAGACAATTTTTTATCTTGCTGAAAAAAAAAATATAGTTGGGAGAAGTGTGACGCCAAACCAAAAGTGCAAAATACTTGGAGAGGATGAAAGTGTTTCTTTCAGGCATTTCTCCGGTCGCGACACTACCCCCCCCCCCTTCCCGCCGAAGCGTCCACCTCCCCCCCCCCCCCCCCCATAGAACAAATATATAATTTTTATAGAAAATTTATCTTTTAACTTTCCCTCGTTCCCAAGAAATTATTTTAAGTGCGCTCCCCTGGAAGTTTCAAGTGCCCCCCCCCCCCCCCAACCCACCTTCCCCCTAAATAGGAAAAAAATGTCTGAAAGAAACCCCGAGAGGATGACGTAACACCCTCAGCCACAGACAGAAAGTCAAATAACTTTAGTTTGCAGACCCATCAGAGTAAACCTAATCTAGTTGGACCCTAAGCCGTCCGCATCATATCCTCGAACCAAACCCTAACCCCAATAGTAGCTCATATTCCTTACCAGTTTCTTCCAGGCATCTCTTCGGGGGGGGGGGTGGAGGCCGAAATGGAATTTATAAAGAAATATATACATTTAACAGTGTCCGCCCCCCTCGAATAAATTCTACCGCCCCCCCCCCGAAAATTTCAGACATTATCAGAGGCGTAGCGACCCTTCCCGGCGCCCGGGGACAAACTTTCAATTTGGCGCCCCTCTCGGAAGCAAATTTTCAATTTGCACCCCCCTCAAACTTTCGATTTGCACCCCCCCACCCCCGTCAAACTTTCGATTTGCACCCCCTTCCCTCTCAAACTGCAAAAATGCAGCTAAAATGACATTTTAATTTGTCTTTACAACCCATTTTGGCGCCCCCTAAGTTCGGCGCCCGGAGAGATATGTCCCCCCCCCCGCTGCCCCCTCCCCCCATCGCTACGCCTCTGATTGTCATCGCTGGGGTTTGCACGGCTGATTCAAATATTTTAAACCTTACCTGTAGGCTTAACCAAGTTCATACTCTTAAAGTCTCAAAGTGTTAACACGTTATCTACAACGTTCGTAGTACAATTAGAATCTAGATCTAGATTATGTGTTTGCTGATATTCTATAATGTAGGGCTACTAGAGTGCCAATACATTAAAATAATGAAAAAAATAATATAATACTACTTATACTACTACTACTAATAATAAAATAGTAAGTAATAATAATAATAATAACAATAATAAAAATATGATGATGGTGATAAGAAGAGTGATATAGGCCTATCTAGATATAGTGACAAAGACTAGAGCTAAGTATTAGGGTTAGGACAAAGATAACTATAGTCTTTCTTCTTCTTTCTTAAATCTAGTGTTTGAAAGGATTCCCTCCAAAACTTTATTACGTGTCAACTTGTTATAGTTATGCGCCATATAGGCCATTGAATCCTATTTTAGCCTGCTTTTCTTTTTGGAATTGCTTCCATAGCCTTTGTCCAACCATGGACAAACTACAAAGCAGCAGTTGTTTGATTTTGGAATTGTCTCTACAACGATAATGATATTGATGGGAATGGAGATTATATTGACAGGCGATAAAGAAAGATACAGATGACAATGGAAACGACAGACATTAACAGTGACACCGACAATGACGGTGAAGACTAGACTAAAAAAATAAGCAACTCACTTGAATTTCGAGTTTAAGGACAAATGATCTTGTTTTTTTGGGACAATGGGTTCTTTTGGGCGAGTTTATCTTTGAGCTCCTCACGATGTTCGGTTGACTCCTGGCTCGTATTTTCCTCGGGCGGCGGATTCTCAGCGAAAAGTGCGGAATAAATCAACTTACATATGGTGTCGACTAGCAAGGTGATGGCAATCAGCATTATAGAACGTTAGCCGGGTGGAACTTTTAGATCAGAGGTGAAAGGCAGACGCCATCCCATGTCAACGCATGACGTACATTTGGTTGTTGCGTTCGCGAGGAAGCGCACCCGTGCTGTGCTGTGCTACGGTTGCGCGTGGTGCGCGCTGGTGCGCAATGTAGGCTTGTGTTTGTCGTGCGTAGCGTGTTTTTTGGCTAGCGCATGTCAGTGGGTGTCTTAGATTGCATCGAAGTTTTTTTTTTAAATTGTGTCGGTTGGGTACGTGGACATTATCCCCCCCCCCTCTAGTCGATTACCCACCGGTAAATTCCCCCCTCCCCCTCACATGATTCCACCACCCCACATTACTCCCTGTCTACTTAAGAAAGGTGGGTTTATTTGATCAACATAAGAAAGGTAGGTTTTGGTCAATATAAGACAGGTGGGATTTTGGTCAACATAAAAAGGTGGGATTTTTGTCAACACAAGAACGGTGGGTTTTTGGTCAATATAAGAAAGGCGTTTTTGACAACTTAAGAAATGTGGTTTTTTGTCAACACAAGAAAGGTGGGTTTTTGGTCAACATAAGAAAGGTGGATTTGTTATCAACATTAGAAAGGTGGGTTTTCGGTTAACATATGAAAGGTGGGTTTTTGGTCAACATAAGAAAGGGGGTTTTATTTGGTCATTATAAGAAAGGTGGGTTTTTGGTCAACATAAGAAAGGTGGATTTATTTAGTCAACATAAGAAAGGTGTATTGTTTAACAACACAAGAAATGTAAGTTTATTTGTCAACATCCGGGTTTATTTTTTTTTATGTCACCACTTGACAAAGGGTTTCTGAGACCGCAGATACCAGGTAGGCAAGACACGTACCAGGATCTCCATCGACCGCGTCAGGGTGACATGATGACTCACCGATGTACCGCACGTCACGCTTCTGATCACCACAAAGGACCAATCATCAGCGTCACTAGATCAATCACGTGACGCTACTGGACCTTTCCTATTGGTGGGTTGGTTAATCCGGTGGTTAGAGCACAAAGGATTATCACCCTGTGTTTCAACCGATACCAAAACAAATAGAGAGTGTGTCAGGAGTGTAGACCGAGTTTTTTTTTTACAGGCATCTCTTCAGGGGGGGGGGGCGAAGAAAAGTCTACGCCCCCAACGAAATGGAATTTATATAGATAATGCATACTTTTAACAGTGTCCGCCCCCCCCCCCCAAACCCCCGGAAATTATAGTCAGCCCCCACCCCCACCCCGAAGATTTCAAGTCTGGAAGAAACACTGAGTGTAGACGAACCAGGTAGTTTTTAGCTGTACGTGACAACACCTGACCTACCTCTACCCCGGGACAATAATAATAGAAAGCCCTTACCGAAATAGAGAAAGAACGGGCTTGGGTATCGAGAAATACACTTCCTGTTTTGTTTTGTTTTTTGTCAAGGACAAAGGCATATCTATACATCTAGACGTCCTAGGGGAATTCCCCCCCCCCATACACACACTATTTTAGTCATGACTAGACCTGGCATTCTGTTTATTGTTTTTTTTAAACGTATGTTAGATGAACACTATGTGTGTTTAGATGTTGTTCGTGAATGGGGTCGTGCTACTTTTTTCTACCCCTCGTCCTTAAGGACCTGTTATCTTAAAGAGCCAGATCACCCTCCCCGCCCCCCTCACACCCTCAAAATCAGTTATCACGGCTTAACTTAAGAAATCATCGTAATTTTACCTTTAATTACCACGTTAGTTCTTTTTAAACAAAAATTCAACGAAACGTTTCTCAAACCAAACCTAGCCAGTGGTTCTTCCAGACTTTTTTTTTCCGGGGGTGGGGGGGGGGGGGGCACTTGAAACTAAAATTTCCGGAGGGAGAGGGGCGTACACTGTTAGAAGTATATTTTCTATATAAATTCCATTTCGTACAGGGAGGCGATAGACTTTCTTCGGGGGGGGGGGGGGGGGGGGCAGAGCCCCCACGAAAATATAACTGTAAGAAACTCTGAACCGAACCCCCACCCACACGTAACACATCGTCACACAAGTCAACCCCCCCCCCCTTTCCTTCTCCCCACTAGACGTGTAACGTCGTGTGTGTAGACAAGCCCGTGGGTATGGAATAAGACAAGATCTTACACACCAATAAACAAGTATAACAACCTTTTCACGAGCAAGCTTCATAATCCGAAACTGTAACTAGAGTCGAACCATAACTAGAGTCGAAAATAAACATTTATCTTTATATATAATCGTAAAAGCATGCTAGCGTACATAAATTCTTATAAGAATAAACATTAATACAATTTTGAAAGGCCGTTTTTATATTTATTAACACGCATGCATATTAAACTGAATCCTTGACAGAAATAAAATCCCCTAAGCGTCAACACGGATGATTTTAGTTCCGGCTGATAGCATTTACAAACTGTTTGTCAAAACGTCGACCGGATTGTCTTTCAGCCATCCCAAATATATCTCAATACACACATGTCACATGGCCCGTGTCACATGTCACAAAAATGTTTGTTAGTGCCGAGCCGGGTGAAGCCGGGTGAACCGGTTTACAGATGAGGTCATGAAGAAACCAGGACCGGTGTGAAGACGGCACGGACTTCACGGATGTAAGATTGGGAGGCGCGCGGCCAGTACACAACGTCACGCGTCACTGGTTTTACCGCGGGGCGAGGGAAGGTGGGCGGTGGCGCTGGGCGGCAAGCGTAACCGGGCGTGTGGGTAAAAAAAAAAATTTCAATTTAATTTCAAAAATATATGAGACGCAGTGGCGTAGCGAGGTCGGGTGTCACCCGGTGCGGCACTTAATGGTGTCACCCCCCCCAGAGGCATAGAGACCCTTCCCAGGAACAAATTTTCAAATTTTCGATTTGCACCCCCCCTCAAACTTTCGATTTGCACCCCCCCCCCTCGAGTTTTTCTCTATATATTTTGCTATTTTTTGCCTTGGTGTCACCCCCCTAAATGGTGTCACCCGGTGCGGTCCGCCCCCCCCCCCCCCGCCCCCCCCCCTCGCTACGCCCCTGATGAGACGTAACATTATTATTTAAATGTGTGCTTATAAAAATAACTTATAAAATATATATTTATATTTAGGCCATATATATATATATATATATATATATATATATATATATATATATATATATATATATATATATATATATATATATATATATATATATATGAAGTGTAGCCGCAGCAGCACGAATTGACTGTCCAAACACAAGCTATAAAGAGATAAACGTTGAGAGCTTATGCATATTTTGTACATTGACCGGCCTATGCGAGCACTGACCGAGATGCCCTGGCCAATGTCCGATGTAGGTTACAGTGTAATGGCGTTTTGCTCATTCCGGCCGCGGTTTAATTGTGAGCGATGTATTGCTCGCCACTTGTTTGTGTAGCATTCTATATGCAATGTGACATCGACCAAAACAGGCCGTCAAACCAAGAGGCAAACCGTGTCTGTGAGTGTGTGTATAAGTTTACATGTACGAGTGAATGTGTATGAGTGTGTGTGTGAGTGTGTGTGTATGAATGTATGTCTGTCTGTGTGAAAGTGTGTGTGTATGAGTGCGTGCATACATTTATGTATATGAGTGAATGTGTTAATAATCAATAAAGACCTAATTCGGTTATCATAACTGTATACAAACCCCCAAAATCTACTCATGATCTTCTAATTCGGACTTTGGCCGTTCTCCTCTAGCCAGTCCGCGGACTACCCGGCCAATGAGAGAAATTAAGAAAAAATTCGCACAATTTCGCTGGTCATTGGGAGGTGATATTGGCTAATGCGAACATTTCCCAGCTAATGCATGGTTTGGCCAACTTCGGGTTTAGACCGTGATAATTTAAAAAATTATTTCTGAGTGATGGGGTGGGGCGATAATGGCGTAGGTCTGCATGAAGCTCCCACCCCCCTCTCCCCACACACACGTTTAGACGGCTACAAAACCGCAAGTGAACATGAAACGTGACCTCAAACAGGATCGTGATGGTACCCTGCTGGGGGGGGGGGGTAGACGGTATTCTAAGTCTTCAGGTTAGCTAAGACAGATTCACCCCCCCCCCCCCCCCCATCTAAAGCTCAGCATTATTAAACCATCGCATGTCTGCCCCAGAAAACGGTCACATTTGACTTTTCTTAGAAAATTTAACACATTTTGTTAGGCGAGTCTTTGTAAAGCGGGATTATTTTTTTTCTTCCAACTCCGCAGTAAATAGAAACAGCTAAGCTTTCAAAGCTGCACGAAAAAATTTCATAGGCCTACACGACCGGCGTACCTCTTTAAGCGTCTCTCTCTTAGCCTTTAGGCCAATCTCTCTGTAACGCATTCTCTCTCTTGTATGACGCATTCTCTCTACCAAAACGCTCTCCCTCTTGTATAAGCCCATCTCTCTAGCTCTCTATCTTAACAATCTCTCTATCCTAACATAGTCTATATCCTAATGCTCTCTCTATTCCTAACATAATATCTCTCTCCTAATGCTCTCTCTATGCCTAACATAATATCCTCAACCTAGTGCTCTCTCTATCTTAGAATAATCTCTCTATTCCAACCCAATCTCTCTATCCTAAACCAATCACTCTGTCATAATGCTCTCTCTATCATAACATAATCCCTCTATCCTAACCCAATCTCTCTATCCTAACCCAATCCTTCTATCCTATCCCAATCCCTCTATCCTAACCCTCTCCCTCTATCCTACAGCCCTCTCCCACGACCCCGACACACCCATGCCCCTATTCCCACCTAAACCACTAAAGCCTACCTTTCTTACGATCTGACTCCCGTCAAAACCTAACCGATCCAGGTTATCATAACCCGCAATTTACATTTCATTTGTAAAGCTAATTTCATTTCCCCGGGTCATTCTCTCCGACCCAGCCCCCCCCCCCCCCCCCGGCCGTTTTCTAACCTAGTTCCTGATCGCGGTCGGATCGAAGGTTTCGATAGAAACGTGGGGAGGGGGAGGTGAGGGGGTGAATCGATGTTTGCGCCGTGTGCTGCGTGGTTTACCTGTTTCCTCTCGTCTGCTGGCGAGGGTGTCACGGAGCCCAGTCGGCCATTTGACAGTCGGCCATTTGACAGTCGGCTACA